CTCTTCATATCTCCTAAGAGCAAAAGAAAGTGATAATCTCATACAAAACTACCAATACTACCAAGAAAACAAAAAGAAAACCTAACTAAAAAAAAAACAAATAGAACAAAGGGGTATTTTTAAAGGAAAAAAAAGAGGGTACAATGAGATGTAAAAAAAAAAAACACAAAAAAAAAAGCCTGAGGGCTGACAAAAGGGTAACTACCTTTATAAAGAAATAGCACAGAGAAAATGAGAGAAAAAACAAAACAAGAAATACACTATTATAATCCATACCAGGTTTAAGAAAATATTTTATAACAACTGCAATGTTTGTATATCTCGATTACAATATAGAAACTTTAATATCTGACTACCAGCCACCTCCAGATGCCTCTTATACCAGAGACCTAATCCCAGTCATTTGGAGGACCCATATCTATAGACTACATTGTGTGTTGTACCTACTGATAAACAAGGCACATGGTTGTATTCTTGGGTATATCCGAATTTGGGAAGTAAACAATGCTGATTTTTTAGAGAAAGTAAGCTGAATCACCCACTTTTTGTTAAAAATTTTGGAGAAGACTGACTGAATGAAAAACACCTAGAGAGAGACCACTTGCACCCAACAAAAGTGGTTACATCTATATAAAAACTTGACAACTTCTAAACCTTCTTCTAGGAAAGAGGTAAGACACCTATACTATTCTTTTCGGTAAGTGATAAACTCTGAGCTTGTTAGTGTATGAGAACTACTTCTAAATGACAAGTGCCATGCAATTGGTGAGTGATAAACTTTGAAGAAGTTAGCAGGTAGCATATGAGAACTACCTCTAAATAACAACTGCCGACTTATAGCTTCTAGGTTTAGCCCTCTGTGTTTTACTAAGCGCTATTGTATTTTTTACAAAAAAATATGTTTGGATTTTTTGGTACAGGTGATCGTTGGAAAGAGTTGTGAATGAACCAATATTAATTATATTGTATTTTTTAATGTTTTTTAATTTTTAATTTATATAAATTAATTGATGATCTGCCATTCAACTAGACAAAAATATGACAGAGATCAATTATAAACAAGTCTGAATTGAAATTTTTAGATTATATATAAAGTTACAAAATTTTTATACAAATATGGTATTAAAGTAGCACAAATAATAAAGCAAAACTGTAAGCTTTCGATCATAAGATTGTTAAATATCTTTTTTTTTCTTGATAATCTTTACTTTGTAAGCATGTGATATTTACTATATAAAATCTTTATTAATAAAACTATAAATCAAATTAGAGCATTTAATAATACTTAATTTTTAACTTTTCTTATAGCTGTTTTTTAACTTTTATACTTTTAAAAGTATATTACACTTAAAAATGCTATAAAGTGTCATATAAAAGATCACCAAATGTAGATCTGCTATAAATTAAACCTAGACATAAACTACAAAATCTATATTAATCAAATACAGTTTTTTTTTTTAATATATATATACTTTAAATTTTTCTTTTTACAATATAACTATTTAGCACAGATTTACTATATAGTTTAAAACTTGGTGAAATATAACAGATCCAGTAATACTAGAAGTTAAATTCAAAAACTTTTGAACATTTAAGTCAAGTGATTAATATATAAATATTATACTTATTGCTTGTAAATATAATTTGCTATTTTTAATTTCATTTATTTATAACTAATTTTTTTACTTATAGCTAAATGGAATGACTTATACAAATGAAACAATTTGAATAATTTGAAGAACAATATGTAATAGTAAATAAGGATTTATGTTCTTGATTTTGTGTGAACTTGATTTGCTACTTTTAACTCCTCTTAATAACAATTAATTTTTATATTTCAGCAATTGTTATTGTATAGAAAATTAATCACTTCATGAATCAAATAATTGTCATAAAGAATTTATACAAATAAATTACATACCATGGTATAAATAGATTAAAAAAATTGATTAAATCTGTTCTGATAATCCATTCTCAAGATTTTATTTATCATGATTTTACTGAAAATATTTTATTAATAGTTAAAAAGTGTATACATTATAAATTTAAGACTTTCAATAGCAATTTATATAATTTTATTATATATTGCTCCTGAATTTTTGAATGAACATTTATATACCAAAGAATCTAATATTTATTTATTTGTTATAATTTTATGGAAATAGAATAACCAATATGAATGAAACTATTTAAAGGTAAGAACTTATTCTTTCAGAATAATTATGTTGAAAGTTTTTACTAAATATCCTTCATATTATGATATTCTATATGAGAAAGGTTATGCTGAGAATTTAAAATGGCTATTGAAATAGCAATAAGTATCCTACTAGAAACCTATTATTAAAAAGTTAGAAAATATAAAAGGAAAATATATAAAGCAAAGTGAAGATAGTAGGCATTTTGCAAAAGTAAAGCTTATTTTTGAACCTAACCCAGGCTAGGATTTGAGTTTGTCAATGCTAAAAAAAGACAAAAAATATCTAATAAAGATGTAGAAGAGGCCAGGCGAGGATTAGAAAAGGCTTTGTTAGAAGGGCTACTCTTAAATTATCACTTATTAGATGTAAAAGCTATTTTATTGAAAAGAAAGAGATATATAGAAGATACTAATCTTGATAATTTTAGTAGACAACTATTGCAACCTTCTATAGTAATGAAGAAGCTAAAAAAAAAAAAAAAGAATTGACAGATCTGGCAATATGTATTTGTCTAGATTATGTTTTTTTTTCTTAATCATTGTATGGCATATATAGAGTCTTTGCCTTGAAAATAACCTTATAGTATTAGGTCATTTTCAAAGCAAAAACCTTATATACTTTTTTTCTTAAGAGTTTTTTTTTTTGTTGTGATATAACATATATGTTTTTTTCACAAGTTTTTTTTTTTTAGTTACTAATTTAAAATTAAATATAAAGTTCTTCAATTATTTTTGGAAATAAATACTTAGATGCAGATTCTCAAAACTAACCAACTGCTAGTGCATTAGCCAATACACTAAGATATATTTTAATGAATCTGAAAAATGAAAAACTTAATTATATAAGCAAGTTAAGGATTTAGACAAAAATTTCTTATTATATGATCAAATCAATTCAATGTGATTTGAATATTTATACAAGCCGATTTTAAATACAGATTATAATATTTATTTTTCTCAAATTGAATTCAAACTATAAGTTTAATATATTTATATGTATATATTTTAGCAAGTTAATCTAGTCAATCTCATATTTTAATTATATGAACTTGGAGAAATTAGACTACTATAATCTATTTATACAAACAATTTCTATACAATTCAAATAAGGTCTAACTAATTGTATCAACCTAATAATGATAAATTATGTTTAACTTTCTCAGAGCCACTATTATATTCATTCTAAATTTAAATCTCTAATGCATTAATTATGTATAAAATCGATTTTAAACTTGTTAAAAAAATATAAATTAAATAAATTTCGATTTTTTTTTATTATAAATTTTATATATATTTATATAGCATTATATATTATGAATTTAAATATAAGAGTCAGGTTAAATTAAATGAGTGCTAGTCAAAATCCTGACAAACAGAATTCTGATAGGTCATAATCCCGACAAAAAAATCCTAATAGTAAAAATCTCGACAAATCCTGACAACAAAAAATTATTGTTTATTTAAGTTAGGGTAAGATTAGATGAGTGCATAGGTTAGGGTTAGGGTGTGCGCCTAAGTTAGGGTTAAGGTATAGGTGATTTTATATAGTAAAATTGTTCAACAAACACTTTTTTTAATTGTCGGGATTTGTTGGGATTTTTGATTGTTAGGATTTTTTTGGCGAGATTATGACCTGTTGGGATTTTGTTTGTCAGGATTTTGACTCAAACCCAAATTAAACTATATTATGTGGCTATTTTTAGACAAGCAAGTAAATTGAAAGACTAGATTTGAGTTAACTCATAGTCTAAAAACATAGTCTTAACTTGAATTAACTTGAGTCAAGACTATGTTTTTTAAGCTATGAGTTGACTCAAGTCTAGTTTCTAGTAGTTAGCTCTAAATTGGCAGATAGAAAATTAAATTAAAGCTTTTAATTAATATATAGATTAAGTAGTAGTTTTTAATTAGCAAATAGATTGGTTCTTGACTAGTGGGTGAGTGGTTTGAATAATTATAACTTATTCTTATTATAGTAAAGTCCCTAGACTAAAAAAAAATAAAATTCAAAATTTTTTTTACTATATTAAATCTTTACTATAATAGAAATTACATATATATATATATAAATAATATATATAAGGAGCTACTATTTCTACCTAGGCCTTTGCACGGGCCTGAGCTACCCATGGATACCTTTAGAGTAGTACTATATGAGATAGACCAGGGTATTAAATTATAAACTCTTAAAAGAAGATAGGGCTAAATAGGGCTTGAATATTAGTACCCTAGTAGGACTTAAATCTAGATATATCCAGCCCTGAGTATCGAAGAGTACCTGTCATTGTATTACAAAAATCACATGAGCACAAGACTTAAACTATAATTGACTAAAATTTTGTACTAGTTAGATAATCTAAATTAGACTTAAATTTTGCGGAATCTTAATGTATAAAAGAAAGAAGAGATTAATAAGCAGATTTTTTTTCAAGAAAAAATAAAAGAAATTCATATAATCAGTAAAGAGCTTGTAGTCGAAGGTGTAGATTGCAAATTAACCAAAAAATAGAGAGCTTGTAGTTGAAGGTGTAGATTGCAAAAAATAAAATAAAAAAAAATTAAAAAACAAAAAAAAAAAAAAATAGAAAAATATTATTGATAAGTTAAATGAATATGCCACTCTTAATTAAGATTTTAAGTGGGTCAAGTTTTTCTAACTGTTATAACACTAGTTGTTTAGTGTGCTCTTGGCCAAATAAGAATTGTACTTGCAATGAACATAACTTCTACTAATACAATGGATGTTCAAAACATAACCTCTACTGATACAATGGACGTTTAAAACATAACCTCTACTGATACAATGGATGTTCAAAATATAACCTTTACTAATACAATGGACGTTCAAAACATAATCTCTACTGACTCTGTGACTTCATTACCTATACCAGTATATTCTGCTGCTAACAACACCACCACTGCCACAGCCACAAGTTCAACAACATCTTCAAGAAATATTTCAGCAGTTTGGGATAACTTTACATTATTATCAAATAAACCAAAAGCAAAATGTAAATATTGCAAAAGTATTCTAGCTTATAAAAAAGGTACCAGAATATCACATCTCTGGCGCTATCTTAAATCTTGTAATAAATTTAAAAAAAATAGGACATGTAATGAACAATCAAATGGTCAAACCCATTTAAATTTTCCTATTTTAAACAAACAGCAACGTATAGAAAATCCAAGCCAAAAAGACCTGGTGGATATGATAATTCGGGATGAACTATGTTTTCAATTTGTTAAAAAGCCTGGCTTTCGTAAATTTCTAAGTAGGATTTTACCTTGCTTTAGTATGAGCACTGATACAGTAAAGCAAGATATTATGAAAGGATACAATGAAAGAAAAAACTTAATAAGAACTATTCTTCAAAATGCTGAAGGCAGGATCTCTCTTACTTGTGATGTATAGACATCGCTTCAGCAACTAGGATATTTGGCAATCACTGCTCATTTTTTAGATGAAAAGTGAAACCTTGTATCTCTTTTAATATCTTTTGAGCTACTTCCCTATCCTCATACTGATGCTAATATTGGAAATTGTATTAAGACTGTAACTAATGACTATCTAATTACTACAAAGGTATATAATTATGTCTTGATTTTGATATTATTTGATATATACTGTATTAATAATATTGTATATTTACAGTTACAAACTATTACTCTTGACAATGCAAGTTTGAATGATGTTGCAATCCATGAACTAATTAATTCTGCTTCGCAGAATTTAATTAACATTAAAAAAGAACTTTTTCATAATCACTGTCTTGCTCACATTTTGAATCTTATTGTAAAAGATGAATTAAAAGAAATTTCAGAAACGATTATAAAGGTATTTATTTTATATATTTAATTAATTTTAAACAATATAGTAATCTAATAATACTTTATAGATCTGCAATTGTGTTAAGGCAATATATACAACACCAAGATGGCGTCAAATGTTTTTAGATGTTTGTGAATATGAGTCTATCAAAGCTACAATCTTGCCTTTAGATTGCGAGACTAGATGGAACTCTACTTTCATCATGCTACAATCAGCAATAAAAATGGAAAATGTAATTACTAGAATAAATAATCAGGACAAAACTTTCCCTGATATATCTGATGAGAAAGAGTGGGAAAGAGCAAAAATTATTTGTACTTTCTTAAAACCGTTTTATAATTGTAAGTTATGGATTTTGCTATAATAAATATAAACTATTTTAATTGACTATAATATAATCAAAAAAGTTCATATAATATATTTTTTGTTTAAATAAAAATTTGGTTATATTTATATTTTAAGAACAAAAATTAATTAAATGTTGTATTTTAATAAAAAAACAGGCACTTTAAAAGCATCTGCTACTACTTATCCGACTATCAACAATACACTCACCTCTATTCTAAGTATTCGTGCCCATCTTCTTAGTATAAAATTTCATTTGAATGACTTTGTTCGTAATACTTACCGACCCATGATAGAAAAATTCAATAAATATTGGAAAGATAGTAATCTATTATATATGATTGCATGTATTTTCAATTCTCGTTATAAGTTGCAGCTTATTTCATTTTATTATTGTAAAAATGAAAATCAAAAATTGGATAATGTTGATGAAAAAATACAGGATATCCGAATGAAGTATATATATAATATAATTATTAGCATAAATAATTTAAATTTATTTTTTAATATTTTAACAATTTAGGTTCGAAGATCTGTATTTTGCATATTATTTTCTGTTGGATTACTTTTTATTGGATATTGAACAAAATAGTGAAGATCCTAGTATTGAAAATAAAGTGTCAATATTTGAAAGTCAACTTGATAATTTTTTCAAATATACTAAAAAAAAAAACCAAACTAATCAACCTAACTCACTTTGGAAAGTCAAACAGTACCTTGATGAAAATATTGTCAATAAGACCACTGATATTCTTAAATAGTAGAGGCTTAATAAAAGTCATTTTCCAAATCTATCTGCAATAGTTCGGGATATTATTGCTATACCAGCAACAAGCGTTGCATCTGAACAGATATTTAGCTGTGCTGGTTGTATTATTGATGAAGAATGCACTTTGTTAGATCCAAGTACAATAGCTGCATTAATGTACTAGCAAAATTGGCTAGAAGTGTTAGCTAAATTTGAATGGGGTCTATAATTATGTAAATATATTTCAATATTATATTTTAATTTGCTTTTAATATAGTGTTATAGAATGTGTTGATATTATAGAACATATTAGAAATTTTATCTCTATTAGATCCAGAAAATTGTTGTTTTTTTTTTTTTTTTAATATTAAAGTGACCACTTAGGCCCTTGGCACTTTATTAGTACAAGCGGTAGGCCAATGTTAATTTT